AACATCTCTTGTACAAATACAGATGGATTCAACCAAAACCTTGGATCTCTCTGAATTTTCCAAACTGTTACTGTCAAGTGAATGCCAGCTTGGACATGATAACCACTAATGTTGTAGTCACCCATAGCTTCCCAAGGTCCTAAATAAAGGCAATCTGGATAGGACCAGAGGTATTCTTTGATACTGGCTTGAAGATATACAAGATTTTTTATGACTGACTCATCAACTTGCCGCTTCTTACCAACTTGGAAGTGTAATTTTTCTTCTGCCTTGTACAAGATCTGAGGGTCATTTAGGATTAATGCCATGGTCCATGTCAGCACCCCATCTCTCATGGCACTGCCACCAATTGCCTGCATTCAAATTCAATAGAAAATCATTCAAATAATTAATAAAGTTGCCTAGAAAAGCAAAGCCAAAGAGATTTCAGGAGCTGAACGCTTCCTTGTAATGCCTATGCCACATCATTGCAAAAGCATGCTCAAAGTGAGCTATTCTAGCTTAGAGTTTTCTTTGATAACAAGAAGGCAAAATCCCCTCATTGACTGAACTCCAACCTTAATTATCAGTCCAATTCATGCCAAGAAAAGCCATAAATCAACATTTTGATTCAAAATAATTTTAATTCTATAAGTTCAACCTACAGTGCAGTTGGACTTGATACTAGAATCTGGCTATCTGCATCATACTGTCAACTAGATGAATGAAACTTCCTCCTCGAGTAACAATAAAATCAATGATGTGCTTATCTGAAAGACAGAGTTCAACTCTTTTGCTGTCATTTTGATTTGGAGCATATCAAAGAAACAACCATCATTTCAGACAACAAAGGCACCAAGATAACAATATTCTAACAAACATGTAAAATGTAAAACAAATCTTCATATACCATTTAAGTTCAACAAGCATAGCAGAACATCAAACATATAGTTCTCTTATTCATAAGTCAACTACAGAAATCAATACATGCTTGAGCTGAGAATATCAAGCCTACCGTTTGAAAGAAGATCTAAGGTTGCTGGGGAAGGAACCAACACTCTTTTTTTTTTTTTAAACTTGCTTAAGCTATAAACTTTATATGAGGAATGTGTTGCAATGCCTAGATTTACCATTGGACATGCATACTAAATTGTTGGATCCCCTTAGTGGCACATAGCTGGCCCATATACAAGGGCATAAAAGTTGAACCAAAGAAAATTATGTTATATAGATAATGCTAGAAGGAAAATGGATCAGGTAAGTCAACAGGACAAGAAGATCAAATTGGGAATATTCAACCATGAGTCCACATGTTCTACAACGTGGCTATCCTATATCTAAACACTGCCTGATGGCAAAAGAATAAGTATTTATTTTTTTTGGATAAGATGTAAAAATGTTATTTATCCAATAAAACTATTCTGTAAACTGAAGCAGCAGCTGCTGCTGCTGCTACAATCAATATAGCTGCAGTTTGTAAGGATGAAAGAATAAGTATTTAGCTGGAGACGTAGATCAACAAAAGTTCCAGTTTTGGGAATCAAGACTTTTCTAGAGGACCTATCAACCACAGAACACCTCATAGATGAGAAGCAAAGAATCTCAGGACTTCTACAGAAGCAACTAGCAAGGTTTTTGAAGACGTGATCTTCTAACAACAGTGACTCAAACAAAGGTTCTAGTAGATTGCAATCCGATTGAGGGTGACAGCATTGTATGTCTAGAGTTCAAATCCTAAATCACACAAGACACAACACGACAAAATTAATTTCTCCACATATGAATTACAGCAACGAGGCATACAGTGAATATTAGGTTCCTAATACATTGAGTCACATGATTCCATTTTCCACTTTAGGTTACCATACATAACAATATTCAAAACCGATAATAATTATAACATAACAGATCCTCTTAAGCTTGAAAACGCTGCATGCCTGTTGTGATATAGCTGTGTTACGTAATTCTCTAATTATTGTATAAAATTTTTTGACAGATGAACGCAACATGACATTGATTGCCCATGAATAAACATCATCAACCACTGAAGAAAATGCCGCAATAAAACAATAGACCATCAATAATTCAACTTGGGACCACAAATCCACTATAGAAGATATGTAAAAGGAAAAAGCCGGAAGTAAATCTAGTACTGGGTAATATTCTTTTACCAGTAAGCATCCAATAATATTTTCAAGAAATTTATTATCAAAATAATAAAATTCTCTGATTATGGTATGAAGTCTCTGCTTAACAATGGAGGGTCATACTATATACTCCTAACATTTTATTCACTCATCCAAAACTATAAATGAAAAGGAATTAAGAAAATACAATGGCCTTGTAGTGGAGACCTACGGATTCTTATGGCTTCAAATCTCC